TGCCTACATACAGGATGACATGATGTGCCTCAACACTTCAACAATGCAGTCCTCAGAGCTAGATACTATGATATGCCTCCACAATACAAAGACACCACTTGCCTTCATAAAAACTATGGTGGGCATCACCTGCCCCACTGCAACAACCAACTGTAACACTTTTCAGCTTAAAAGGGGACATACATGTTTAAACAAACTGCACTTCAACACCAAACTCAAGAACAAAACTAAACTTCAATAACTGTCTAGTAAGGAGCACCCAAAACATCCTTACGCAACCATACGAAGGACACAAGGATGGTTACTACTAAACGTCAACAACAATATGTTTTGATCATATGGGCAAACGAGATTTTCCAGGACCAAGACCGGAAACACAACAGAATTTATAGACACCAATACCCAGTGACAGATGTCAAAGATGAAAGAATAACAACCAGATGTCTAACAGTTTCTAAAAGTGATTAGAGAGAACTCTGGACAGTAATGTGGAAACAAATCATATATATTATATATATAATATAGTGAAGTCAACCAAATGACTTGACGGCAAGCCATCTGGTAGGAGGAATGATTTTTATCTAAATCACTAGGTCTCAGAACCAATGCTTTGATATCTATGTTCAGAAAAATAGGGAGAAAATAACAAATATATTCATAATAAGTTCACAACCCTATCACAATAGGAAACAAAATTTTACCTCAACATACAAGTAGGAAACAACTATCCAAAGAATCTTCATTATGACATATATATAATATATATTTCACTTTAACAGACACTTGCACCAGTTTCTTGGTAAATAGGCTGACACTTCGTTTGGCACCCAAGTTTTCCTGACAATTCCTTTTGGCCAGTAAATCTAGTAACTGGGACTTTAACAAAGTGTTGCTTCCTGTAACACTTTAATTTTTAAATATGTTTATCTTGTCTGCCTGCAATAAGGATAGGTAGGTAGAGCTATGAAATTCAACCTCAAATTTTGATAAGTGCATTCACCAGAAACTTTTTTCTTTTTTTTAGAAAATATGTTTATGTTGTCTGCTGTAATCATGTAACATAGAAGGGATAATTATGTTGTTCATATGGCTATCTTGGACACGCCTGCTGTTTGATTTTGTTCGTTCTGCTGGTCATTCACCAGAAATAATTACTATAACATTAAGGGAAATTTTAATGGGACCCAACAATTTTCTTTTGAGACCCAACTCTTATGTGAAATGTGAATTGTCCATTTTACCCCAATATGAAATTACCATTAAGGACAAAAAGCATTTAAAAGAAAAACAGATGTTCTCACTATACCCAACAGCTGCAACACATATGCCTAGAAACCTCATCACCTTCCACAAACCCTCACTTATTCACACTTTTTTACTCTCAT